TTGCTGGTAAATAAAAATAAAACCCCACGAAAGGAAAATCCTGAGCGTGGGTGAGAAATTTAATTTCTTATTCCATGAGAAATGAAATCTCGAACCGAAAATGATTTTTTAAAAACTTTTATTTTACTTAAATACAATAAATATAGATGTTAATGGCTTAAATATTAACTAGAAACTGACTTTTAACTGAATTAACTACTTTTATATAAACAACTATTTTAATATGCTAGCTAGGCAAAATCGTATCTTCTATATTATGGGTAATATAAGTTGTGAAAGAAAGAAAAACGGGTTACATGTCACTGTCCTAACTTTTCAATTGAGTGACAAAAAATAATTTCATACATGATGATCAAAAATTGGATATTTTAGTTTAGTGTTCTATGGTGCACTTCTAGACTAATTAGTAGAGCTAGGAATATATGCAAAACGCCATATTTTGCATATGTTGCATATATATACAATTTTTGATTTTGAATGCATATATTGACATTTTGTTAATTTTTTGGCATATATCTGACGTACTAATTGGCTGGACATATTAAAATTATGAGTTTTGGACCAAAATAATATTTTGTGAAATGCCTTTACAGGTCGATTTCCTAAAATTTTGAAGGATTAACTTTTCCCTGTAATAACTTACGGTTAATGGTGTAGGTACTTGAGAGGATTAAATTATAAACACCCTCCTTAAACCAACAAATTTTGCAAAATATCCTTTCAGGTAGTTGTATTAATATCTTCAAATGTCTAAATGACTCAGTTTACTTTCAACTTCATTTCAGTCTTTATTGTTATGTTGTGTTAACCAGTGGAAAAAATGACAAAATTAATTGAGTCTTATTCAGATTTTGTTGTAGAAGGTGATAAACAGGTGTTTTGTAAAACATGTTCTAAAATTGTAAGTACTTTTTTATTTTATTTTGACCTTTCACAATGGTAAATCAAACGACAGTAAAATATTATTTCAACTCACAGTTAAAAAAAAGTAGGGCAACTTTACAACATACGCATTTATTTAATTTAATTAAAACTTCAACATCTACAGGAATTTATTTGCTTTAGATTCCATGTAAAAAAAAATTTCAAATCGACCAACACGCGAAAACACCCTCACATATAGCAAAGCAGAAATCTAAAGACACTCGCAGACAAAGTCATCTTCCCTTGAAACAATATTTAGAATCTGGATCGTCTAGAAGTGAACAAGCTATTTTTAATGAAGATTTATGCAAAGCTTTAGTGACTTCGAATATCCCTTTAATACGATTAAATAATCCAAATCTCCGATCATTTTTACAAAAATACTGTAAATTTAATATTCCAGAGCAAAGTATATTACGCAAACGTGGTGTTGACAGTTTGTACATTGAGATTTGTGAAAAAATTCGTAAGATAACCGTTGGAAACCATTTCTACATTATTGTGGATGAAACAACAGACTCTTGTGGTCGATATACAGCCCATTTAATGATAGGTTCATTACGCGAAGAAATGCAAATTGGTCCATATCTAATCGCTTCAAAGCAATTAGATAAAACAAATAACTTGACAATAACTCGTTTTATCCAGACAGAATTGTCTTCCTTTTTTCTTCCGGAAGCCGTTCCAACAGAAAAATGTTTATTGCTGTTATCCGATGCTGCCCCGTTCATGTCAAAATTTAAAAATGTTTTATGAAAACTTAATCCATGTTACATGTTTGGCTCATGGCCTTAACAGAGTTGCAGAAGAAATTAGGTTTAACTTTCCTTTAATAAATGATTTAATTAGTAATGTAAAAAAAATATTTCTTAAAGCTCCTCTAAGAACTCAATTGTACAAAGAAACATTTGCTGAATTACAGATGCCACCGAAACCTGTGATTACTCGGTGGGGTACCTGGCTTAAAGCTGCCTTTTTTACGCAGATAATTATGAAAAAATTAAAGAAATCATATTTGATTTTGATGGGAATATCTAATACAAAGAAGTTGTTTTAAAATCACATATTACCAAAGCAATTAGTGTTTTTAAAAAATTATGCATTTGTACCCAAAATTATATTAGATTTAGAACAAAAAAAATTACCTTTGGTGACTTCCGTAAATTTAATTAAGACGTTTGAATCAGAGTGTAAAAATGTCCAGGGCGATATTAAAAAGACGATTTTTCATAAATTTTTAAATGTAATTTTAAAAAATGAAGGATTTATTGTTTTAAGAATCCTTGCTAATATTTATTCTGGTTACTTTGAAGATATTAATACTAATCATCCAGATATTTCAGGAAAATTTAAGTTTGTACCTATTACTTCTGTAGATGTCGAAAGAAGCTTTTCTTTGTACAAGTACATACTTACTGATAGGAGACAATAATTTAATATAGATAATTTAGAAAAACATCTAATTGTTCATTTGTTTTATAATAATGTTGATTTGTAAATAAAATTAGTTAATAATTAAATAATTATTAAGTATTATATTAGCTATTGTATAATAAAACAAATAATAAATATTAATAAACTATTTCGATCAAATAACAAATTACTCTTATTGCATATGCTCTGCATATGTTTTAATTTTCTACGCATATATTGAAGTATTTTGCGGCATATATATGCGCATATTTAACTACTTTGGGTGCATATATTCCTAGGTCTACTAATTAGTATCTTGACAATAAAAAAAAACAAAGATACTGTGAATTAAAATATGATCGAGATGTCATTCGATTCGGAATGATATCTTAAATTTTGTGCGAAAAGTTATAAACAAAAACAATTAATTATAAAAAGAGTTTCCTTTTTCCCATAAATATGGAAAACTATGAAAGCTCTCGCAAATTTGAAAACATAATCTTAAAGAGGAGAAAATTTCCAATACAAAAGTTTAATCACTTTGACCTTTATCTCAATTGTTAGTATCTCAAATTTATTATTAAAAAAAATCTTTTTGGGTATTAAATAAAAATTTTAAATTTTAAAGAAATTATGGTTCCGGTAGAGTAACTAATGTATTAACTCTCCGTCGATACCGAATCTTAACTACCATCGTTGTTGTATCTGCTTATAATAGTAACTTTATTCATTTTCGATACTGTAATATAAACTACTTAAAGTTAAAATATTTAAAAATTAAAAAAAAAAGAGTAAATCGTATTTATTATTAAAATTTAACTTATTTTTAAAACCCTCGTATCTAAACCCAGCTGCTCATCTAATTGTTTCGCAATATCATCACTCAACAACGTAATCAAATTTAACCAGGCGATCATTGGTCGCCTGTAAATTAATATCACACATTCTATATTCTTTTTGTCATTTTACTAACTCGTTTTAATGTAATTATTTTTTTTAAATACTACGATATATTTAAAAATAGAAAACATTTTATGTTATCAAATTTTAATTCGTTTTTATGCTGTAAAAGCATAAACGAAATGTAATATCTTTTCGATCCATCTATGGAAGCAGGGATGAACTAATTATTGATTATTTTCGAAAAGTGAGGAAGCCATTTTTAGTTTAATTTTTTTTTTAATAATGGAGTGCACATAAAATGCAACCCGATTTTCATTTATAACTATTTCGGAGGTCTGAGCTTAGCAGCGCTGCCTAGATCAAATACGCTCGTTAGGGGTCATAAAAAAGAGCCTAATCAAGAAAGCTAGCGGAATTAAGGATAACAACACCTTCAACACCAAACCCACTAGACTACTTGATGACCCACAGCCTGTGATTGAAAACCGGCCGTCAGCTACTGAAGTAGAAAATTTCTGGAAGAATATCTACGAAAGCACGACACCCATCAAGAAGAACACATCATCTATAATCAGGTTCAGATCCTATTGTACTTGATTTCAACAATACCACCGTGGCGATAATCCGCAAGTAACTCAGGAAGAGATTAGAAAGGCACTTGAAGGTACTAGACATTTTTTAGCACGGTGTTTTTTACAGGAACATAGAAGATCCTAATCTATTTTGGGAATTAACTTTCTCCTTTCTTAGATCAGCTGACTTGAAGTCTGAGACAGAGGGATTCTTGTTAGCTTGCTAGGATGGCCTAATAAACATTCTCGTCTCAATTTACGCATGTGGCGGATGTCAGATTCCAACAATACCCGAAGACATTAATGCATCTTTTGTCTGCTTGCCCGGTGCAAGCTGTGTCTGGGTACATCCATATGGACAACGCCGCATTGCGATTTCTCTACTATCATCTGAGACATCACTACGGTTTAGATGAGACACCAGTTCTGCCATACGTATTTATTGGAATTACGCTTTTCCCACAACAACCAGACTCCAAGCTAACAAGCCCGATTTGGTGCTGTTGGTCAAGCAGAGTCATTCAATGTTTGTCATTGAGTTTTCTGCACGAGGTAAAACCAATATTCTTATTAAGGAGATGGAAAAGCGTGCCAAATGCATTCCACTGATTGGCGAGTTCCAAAGAATGTATCCAAAATGTAGTGTACGCATAGTAGTCCTAATTGTGGATGTTTTAAGGGGAATTAAGGATACTTTGTTCAAGGAGCTACAAAAAATACCAGCTTGCCGAGACTCATCAAAACAACTAGTGGAGAAGATGCAATTCTTTTGAGGCAATTGAATTTGGCCAAAGATCAATGACCGAGCGGATGTAAGAAGTGATCTTCTCAGCGACCAGGCCTTTTGCGTAATGTACTGGGTGTCTCGGAGCCCAAGGAACGTTGCGACGAATTTTTTACACACAATAATATCAAAAAAAAATTAAAAAATAATAATCCAGAAGCATGCCACAACACAAAAATTGTAAATAAACAAATAGACTACTTATAGGTGACAACTATAAACGTCATGTCTTTTATGTATTTTTTTTTAAATGCCGTCTATTTTTATCATATTTTTTTGCCCAAAATTCCATTATTACGTCAAGATACATCAATTTGCCTAGTTTTTCCGGATTATACACGGAAATAATTTAAATGATAAAATAGATAAAAGTGTGTAATATATTATAACAATACGAGATAAGGAGCATTAGTACCTACAGAGTTAATGTCGATATCTGATTGTATACTTGATTGTATACTTGAAATTCTTATGTTATAGAAAAGGTTAAGTGGTCGCACTTTTTTCAAATTTTGGTTATGGTAAGTTTTTTGAATAATTATTAGTTTTATTCCAAGATTTATTTAATTGTTATTTTTTTTTATTTATTACTTGTAGTAACTAAGCATATTATTTAATAATAAGTGTTTTACTGGCCAAATCCCAAATTCACTAACAAAAATCAAAATATTTGTCTTCTATTCAATCAGTATAACAATCTTTCGATGTATAGATATGCCCTACATGTTACCTAATTGAGTTTAAGTCAATTTATTTATAGTTTCTAGAATTTATAAATTCATTACAAGAGTATGTATAATGTTCTTAAAAAAAAACAAAGATCACGCTAATCATTTTTAAATACAAAAAAGTGTACATATTTGTTACAGAAATGCACTTTAAAAAACTACTCAGGGGAGACGTGTATCATTCGTTTAAAATGAAAGCCCGCAATTTTAAAATTTCTATAAAATAAGAAACAAAAATATTAAGTACAATAATTACCTATTAAGAAAACTAGTGTTCAGTGGGCATATAAAAAGAAGATATTCTAGTGATAGTGTTTCTAAGTAGTGCACAGTTCAGTCAAATCAACGGTAGTTCCTTGCAGTATAAAAGACGTATTTGTGAAATTAGTCGAATTTTAAATATTGGAAATATTCGGATAATTGCTTTATTTCTTTTCAAAGTACTGACCATAGATATATAACCAAGACAGATAGGATTATTTACAAAATTTTTGAAGAATGAACGGTGGTGTCCGCGGTAGAAACTCAATAATCGGATTGAACATTGATGCCAATTTTACGTGCTTTTAACTATAAGTATATATAACCAATACAGATTACACAATTTCTGAAGTCAACGCGGATGATCCTCGACAGAAATGCAATATTTGGATAAAATTAAAATATTGATGCCAAGTTTGCGATGTTTTTAACTGTAGTAATGTTATTGCGTTTGCTTGAATTACTGTTAGGTCTTTAAATTGTCCAAAAAAAATAATGTCTGACAACAGCGGAAGTAGAGTAGACCGCAATTGTGGAGGGTCGTATATTGTTTCATTCATAAAAATTCCTTCGATACAGTACTAGTCCAGGAGCCAGTGAATTTTTTCGTACTTGTTTTCCCGGTCCGTGTATATTTAAATAATCTATTCCCGGTGAACTGTATATTTAAAATGGAACGCCAATCTATTAACAAAAGTAAGCCAGATTGTATTCGCGCATTACGTCACATCGATACAAGTGAGATTGTTTACAAAGTGCTTTTGCATGCCTATTTTGCATTTGTGTATTTGTTTTTAAATCATGTTAAATTACTATTTTTGAAACTCAACAAGGAGAAAATCCAATTAACTCTTCCGTTGTGTATATATATAAGATAAATTAACTGAAGTTTTATTAGTAAAGTATTACTAATTACTAAAATTTTAATGTTATTTACAGAAAATAGCTAGGTATGTATTTGTTTTTAAATAATTTGATAATTTATGAAAAAAGGGAGTAAAAGTGGAATGACCAGTGGCCAATAGGTCAGTCAATACAAAGTATCATATTTCTATTATAACATAACTAAAATACCTATATCTTTAATCATAAGGACATAAGTTAAAAACCATTTTAATATATGCATTAGAATGAAGTAGTAATAATAACTTAAAGAGATGAGGTCTTAAAGTAATAGCTGGTACAGCATGTTTTTTAAACGTTTCCTCATTGCTGCTAGAATGAAATCACTTACTATGAAATGTGCTCTAAAAACGGCATTTATAGCAGTCAGTGTTCAGTCTTAGGATCTCTTCCTAAAGCCCTCATCCAAGCTGCATACATATTAAAAAATAATTTAAAAAAAAAACATATTATATACCTATATAGTTTTCGGTTCTGGGTGCCCTAAAAGAGGACACTTAGCGACAATTTGGCTCAGATAGCTAAAACCCAAAAGTCACACCCCGAACCAGGACGTATTGCTATCCTTTTAAGTAAAAAATAACTACAAATAACTTACCTGAAAAATGAAGGAGTCTAACTTTACACCAAAAAAACCATACACTTTTTCCCATTGTTGCAAGCACCCGATGACGATTAGGTAGATATCAACTAGAAGCATGTACTTAATGGTTATAAAGCTTATTTTAACACAAAAAGAATAAAGCACTAGTCGAAAAGCAGCAATCAAATATAAATAGACCACAATATTAAAATTCAAATTAAAAACTATATAAAAGACAAATACTCTAAACGCGCAAAAGATCAGAACCAAATAAAATGAATAACCATAATAACCTAAAAATCACACTAAAATTGCAAAAACTATTACTGTAAAATCATGAGATTACATCAATAATGCATATGCGTCGGAGTATCGCAAATGTCAAAAGTACAGTGTTTCCATGAAAATTTAGCTATGTTTTTAGCAGTATTATAGGACCATTTCTACCACGCGCATCCAACGATATTGGCGTTCCACAGTTCACTGTATTTTCCTCACACCTCTAGTATAAATGATTTGACATAACGAAACTAACAATAATTATAATTAATGTAGAGTAATAAGTGATTCGTGAATTCTAAATAAAACAATTATTATATAAGAGTGTAAAAGGAAATGTACTTTATTTCCCTATTTTCTTCTGTAATGTCTTCAATTATTATGTTTAATTTCTATAAATAAACCAACTGGTTAGGTGAAACAATGTGATATAAGATTTTATTTATGTGTCCTATGCGTACACTTTAATATACAAAACACCTGGAACATTCTTTAAATAATTGTGGTCGTAGAAATAATTGTGTACATAACTCGTTTGAAAGTGTATTTTATTCACTTGCCAAATATATTATCCATACAGATTAATCAGACTATTTTTTTACTTAACTTCAGTACATCTCTTACTACTAAAACTATTTTTATCAATGGAAAAAAAGGGCCGTGTTCTCGTATGTTTTGATGCATTCTCGGCCTCAGCCCATCGGATCCCCCCTCTAAATATATATGAATTTTGCTTAGAATTGCTAATCCTACAATTCTCTATTCGTGCTTGCTGACTGGGAAAATAAATACCGAAAATCGTAACTGTCTCCTGAACTATACAATAGATGATGATGAGAACTTCACAACAAATACACTTTTATGAATGGCTAGTTGGGGATGTGGTAATGACTGAGCTAGTTGTTTGCGCAACAAGAGTGGATATGATGGCCATATCTTACGAAGACCATGTTTGAGCTCGACGCCGTAGGCAGAGTGATTAATCGTCTTAGTGCGATACGGAAAATCCACTAGAGTTGGTCAGTATACTTTTTCTACGACCCACCAACGAAAATCTAATAATTTAAAAAAATATTTTATGTTATTAAGATAAAGGAACGACATAATTTAAAAATAATTTATGACTTTTACTAATTTATATGATAAAATAATTGAATTAGCCTCCAATCCTAGAATTGAACCCAGGGTATCTGCGTGAAAGCCAAATTACCTAGTCACTGCTCCATCGCCACATATAATATTTTCGTTTTAATACTCGTAATTAAATTGATTTCATATAGTTTCAAGAAAATGTATGGTTTATTTTTAAATTTAGACAAAAAAATAATTTAAATGCTATTATTTATCGATTAACTAATTTTTATGTATATTTAATCTCAATAACTGAAAATTATACTGACAATTAGTTTGACGGAATTGTCACTTATTTAAAATTTAAAAAATAGTAGTCAAGTGTCCAAAATATGTTGGTGGATATCATTTTTTTTTTTTCAGTATTCTTACTAGGTAGAATGGTAGAATTTTTTTTTATTAGCATTCAAACCACCGCGTAATTAGTTTATCTAGCTAAACCAATTATTTGTTAGATCTGTAGAGGTCATTTATAGCTAGTGGCGGCTTGTAGTAATTTAAAATGGGTATTCAATTTTTTCCAATAATTTCCAAGTTTAAAACTTTATATAAGCGCAAATATAGCAGTTTTTTTTTATTTGGGTGTGTATTAAGTGTACCTAGGTATTATCAATATCATACTCTTCTAGCACTACAACTATTAATAAATGAATGATTATTTTAGTTACTGTACTATTTGTGTTGTTTTTAATACGTTAAACCATCTATACACATTATACCGGTGTGAAGTTAGCAGTCACTTTCCAGCAGCCCGTTTACCGGAAACACCCGAATTACCAGTAGCGTTGAAATGTATTTTTCTGGGAAGTTAACGGTGTATTGAAATAAAATTACTACTAAATTTTTAAGAAACAAATAAAAAGTGTTTAGAGAAAGGATTAAGGGGTAAACTGAAATAAAAATTAAATAAAAAATTCATTAAAAAATCAATTTTCCTGTAAAGACAACAGAATATTGAAATAAAAATAGTGTCAAATTGTTAAAAACTATAAAATACAACCTAAAAAAATTAACAAAATCACTTAGAAAGGGGATGAGGGGGTCAAATTAAATAAAATTTCATCAAAAATCTATTTAAAAATTAATTTGCCTAAGAAGACAATCTAGTATTGAAATAAACTTAGTGCCAAATTGTTAGAAATTATAATATACAACCTAAAAAAATTAACAAAATCACTTAGGAAGGGGATGAAGGGGTCAAATTAAATAAAATTTGTTTAAAAATCTATTTAAAAATTAATTTGCCTATGAAGACAATTGGGTATTGAAATAAAGTTAATGCCAAATTGTTAGAAACTATAATATACAACCTAAAAAAATTAACAAAATTACTTAGGAAGGGGATGAGGGGGTCAAATTAAATAAAATTCCATTAAAAATCGATTTAAAAATTAATTTGCCTATGAAGACAATTAGGTATTGAAATAAAGTTGGTGCCAAATTGTTAGAAACTATAATATACAAAAGCTAAAAAAAATTAACAAAATCACTTAAGAAGGGGATGAAGGGGTCAAATTAAATAAAATTTGTTTAAAAATCTATTTAAAAATTAATTTGCCTATGAAGACAATTGGGTATTGAAATAAAGTTAATGCCAAATTGTTAGAAACTATAATATACAACCTAAAAAATAGTG